TGTTCAAGTCTTCCAGTCATACTTCAGACAGTGTTTAACTGCTATTCGTAAGGTTTCCACTGGCCAGTTCTTTGAGAAGTGGATGCCCTATTCCTTCTTCTCAGCCTATCTTAGTCTGGAAGCTCCACTGAAACCCGTCCACCATGGGTGACCCTGCTGGCATTTGAAACATTGGTGGCATAGCCTCCAACCTCACAGCAACACTCAAGCCAACACAGTATGACAAACTGACAGACAAGTTTGTCTTCCTCAGTTGTTCCAAATGGCTCATTCCTTTCCTAGTTTCCCCTACCCTGCTTGCTTACCCAGCCAGTCCCCAGGGTGCAAACACCTGCATTTTGCTTCTCCTGGGCTGGCTTACCATGGCCTGCCTCCAAGTACACAAACTCCTGCCTTCTGCTGTTCCTGGGGCTGGCTTACTGTGGCCCGCTTCCATGCACACCATAAAAATTTTAGCATGTGTCTAAAAATAAGGACTTGTTTAGTTATCTAGTGCTATAAAAGAAAATGACACAAATTGATGGCTTTAACAAATAAAAAATGTATTCTCTCACAGCTTGTTGTTGTTGTTATGTGCTATCTAGTCATCTCCTACTCTTAGCAAACTTATGCACAAAAGAACAAAACATTTCCTGGTCCTATGCCAACCTATGATCCCTACTATACCTGAGCCCATCACTGCAGTCACCATGTCAATCCATCTTGTTGAGGGCCTTCCTCTCTTTCATCGACCCCCCACTTTACCAAGCATGACATTCTTCTTCAGCGAATGGTCCCTTCTGACAACATGACCAATGTAGGTGAGATGAAGTCTGGCCATTCTCACTTCCAAGGAGCGTTCTGGCTGCACTTTTTCCAGGACAGATTTGTTAGTTCCAGCTTAGGAGGCTGGAAGTCCAAGCACAGGGCACCAGTTCTGGGGGAAGACTTTCTCTTTGTGTCGGGAGAAGGTCTTTGTCCTCAATCTCCCCCTGGGGCCAATAATTTCTCTGTGCAGGGCCCTGGGTCCAAAGGCTGGGTTCCACTCTTGGCTCTTCTTTCTTGGTGGCAGAAGGTCCCTTTGCTTGCTCCTCTCTCTAGCTCTTGTAAGATAAAAGGTGATGCAGGCCGCACCTGAAGAAAACTCCTCTTAGTTGAGATCAGGACTATGACCTGGATAAGGGTGTTGCATCCCACCCTAATCCCCTTATAATTGACTGGCTGGTCACATGACATCACATCACGGAGGACGATTTCATCATTACATAACTGTAAAACTACATCATTACATAACTGCCAAAACACTGAGAGTCATGGTTCAGCCAAGTGGACACTTATTTGGGGTGTGTGTGGGGGGCACAATTCAATCCATGATAGCACTCTTTTCTTCTACCACAACCATGATATCACGGTGATGTCTAATGTCTCTAATAATCCCTAAATATCATCAACTTCCAAACTTGCTTAAATTTCTCTGATAGTCTGCAAAAAGGCCACGAGGGTAGCATCTGCTTCTGACCTCCTCTAACTTCACAAAGAGGAACAGAGCCATCAGCAGCAGCCCAAGGCTTATTCCTATGAGGCAGACATGCTACCACCCTCCAGCCTTTTACCAATTCTGACGCTAGCCGTCCCTCCCATGGCACTCACTACTTCTCTGTTGAATTTGATACTTCGTTGTAATGGTCTCACAAAACTCAGACAATACTCAAAATTATGGGGTTTATTAGGGAAGTAATAGGTTACAAATGAGGTTCAGGAACCTGCTCAGGACACAATTCTTCAGTCAGAACAGCCTCCCCTCTGCTGTGCCTTCAGACACGCCTCTCTGGCCCTTGACCTCTCGGCTTGGCATCTGCCTTGCTCCGGCAAGTGTTTCAAAGCTCTTTTAGCTCCGCTGCTAGGGGCACCTCGGTGCCCCTCACCCCACCAGCAAGCCTCCTGCCCACAAGCACTTGCTCTGTGGACTGGCAAGCCCATCACTGTCTCATGCCTATTGGTCCCTGAGCAGGTCATCTCAGCTGGTCTCCCAGCTAGCCCTCTCTGCCGTCTTTGTGAAGGAGGCCCAGTGCAGGGATCTCGGGTTCAAGGACGAGGTCCTCTCCACCTCCAGCTCTTCTCTCTTGATGGCAATAAGGTCCCCCTGCTCCCTCTGGAAGGGGTTATTTTAAGCCTAGCAGAATGACAAAACTAACCAATCCCCACATTAGAGTTCCATGCACCTTATTTGCATGGTCCCACCCCCACAAAGATGCCACGTACTTTATTTACATTTCTCACAAGCTATCCAATCCCCCAGGGGGGCCAGAAGCACCTTGCATTTGCGTAGTCTCATCCAGTCATCTGGTGCATCCGGTGGGAGTCACAAGGACCACGGCTAGAAGACACCAAATACTTCATTGCACCACAGTCTTTTTTTTTTTTAAATACAGTTCTCTGTTTAAATGAGGATCCAAGTAAGACCCACTCATGAATTTGGTTGATTGTCTTTTTTCTTTTAGTTCATGGGTTCCCTTCCCTGATTTTAAGGAGCTCTGGTGGTGCAGTGGTTAAAACATTAGGCTGCTAACCAGAAGGTTGGTGGTTGAACTTATCAGCCACTCTGTGGGAGAAAGATGAGGCAGTCTGCTTCCATAAAGTCTGTTTCTGTAAAGGAAACCCTATGGCAGCTCTACTCTGTACTATAGGGTTGCTATGAGTTGGCATTTACTTGATGGCAGTCCCCCGTCCCCTTTTACCCTACCACTTATTTATTAAAGTTTGGTCATTTATTCTTTTTTAGAAATTTTTATCATGATTTGGGTGAAAGTTACAGAGCAAATTCATTTTCCATACAGGAGTTCATACACGTTTCATGACATTGACTGCAATTCTTTACACTGTAACAGCTTTTTTTCCCACTTCTTCCCTGTAGTTACCTCTTCCTTGTGTCCTTCTTTCCTATGCATTCCTGCCCCACCCCAACCTATCTCCCTGTGCAAGCACTGCCCTTCTGTTCTCCCATGCTTGGTTGCTCTAAGGAGTGTATCTACCTGATGTAAATGTTCACCCCATATGGCTGTCTGTTGTTTGTCTGGAAGCTGGGGGAGTGAGTTCAATCCCAGACCTGAAGGGTAACTAGGATCCATAATCTAAGAGGTCTCACCATATCTATCAGACAAGTAAACCTGTTTTTTTTTTTTTTTTTTGTAATGATTTTGAGCTTTGTCCCACACTGTTCTCCCACTCTATGCAAGATCTCCTGCACGATCCCTTTCTGAGTGGTTGACAGTGGTGGCCAGGCACTATCTAGTTCTTCTGGTCTCATAGTCATGTAGGCTGAGGTTCACATGGTCTACTAGTCCCTTGGATTAATTGTCCATGCATCTTTGGTTTTCTTCATTCTTCTTTGCTCTGGATATGGAAAGACCCATTTTTGCATCTAGATGGCTTTTGCAAGCTTTTTGCTACTCACCAAAGTATGATGTAGGACAATGTTTTTGAGTAGTATGTTATGCCAATTGAGCTTGATTTTCCCTGGGACCACGGTCTTGAGCCCACAGGTCCAACTACTCACTCCCTCAGGGTGGTTGACCATGGCCAAGAAGCTATCATAACTTTGTCCCTTGTTAGCTCTACTATATATTTGGACATCCCTACAGCACATACAAATATGTAAGTAGAAATATCGTCTGCCAACCTTATATATGGTCATAGGTATATTCCCATTTGCTCAGACATACCTGATCATTCAGCCCATCTACCCATCTATTTACCTGTAGATTAATCTGTCATCACTGACAACACAGCATTGTGTGCGTAAAAGGGTTTATCTTTGTTGTCTGCACCCCTTGTGCACCTCTCTGTCCTACCATATTGAATTTTCCACATTATTGTATCCACAAGGTGTACTTTGACTAGTTTCTTCGTCTCCTGTATAAACTGGCAGAGAGATCCCTAAGCTTGATCAGATTCCGGTTCAATTTCTTCCTGTGAGAATCCTTCAGAGGGAAGTTGTATATTTCCTTCTCATTGCGTCTCATTAGGAGCCATGGAATGTCTGGTTGGCTCTCTTTCATGGTGTCGGGGCTTCTCAGTGGGTTCAGGTGAGTCAGTCTTGTCCATTAGCAAAGTTCTCCATCAGCCTTTCACTTACTGATGGATCGGCCACTGAGGGCCATTTCCTGGATCCATTCTTTTATTTGGAGTTGCATCATTCATTCTGCACTTTAGCTGGAATTCTTCTATGAGGAATAATATTATTTCACTAACTGTTGGGTTACCCTGAAGAGTAGACACTGGTACAAGAAAGGTAAGATATTGACTAGCTTTCATAATAATGAGTTGGTTTCTTAGCATTCTCCAAAGACGATCAAAGAGTCTTTCACTTTGAAATCACAATGAGCAAGTGAATTTTAACATCTTTGATGTAGCTCAATTCTTTGCAGTCACTATTCTTTTTGATATTCAACTTGTTTCATCTGTGGCCAGTGGGAGCCTTTTCAAGTTGAATCCTGTCATCTTCTGTTGCAATCCAAGCAGGCATGGCTATTTTCTTTGCTATCTGCTATAAGAAGGTGTCTTAGGTTCAATTTGCACATTTCCTGCTGAAGATCTAGAATCATCCTTTTATCTAAGGTGCCTGAGAGCTTTCCAGCAGGAATAGAGAAGGAACCAATCTGGGCTCCAGGAGTGCTTGTTGGTCATTTCTTTGTCGCTACAGCTAGAATATATATAGGAGCTCTGGTGGCACAATTGTTAAAGCATTCAGCTGTTAACCAAAAGATCAGTGGTTCAAATCTACCATTTGCTCCACAGGAGAAAGATGAGGCAATCTACTTCCATAAAAGTTGACAACCTTAGAAATCCTATGAGGCAATTCTCCCCTGTTCTCTACAGTTGCTATAAGTTGGAATCAACCTGATGGCAGTGGGTAATGTGCCTACCACATAATATGCACTCAATAACCTTTGTTTTTCTTTCCTTGTTCCCTGCCTCACTTTAATCAGGGAACTGTGTGGGGAATTTGAACTGTTTAGATGATGCCAAACAAGCAGACAGAGCCGGTCATCAACATTAGCCTTCGGAAGTTGAGCCTGACAGCCCCAGAGCCACAGCCCAAAGGTAAGCAAATCATAGACATCTTCAGTTCACAAGGTGCTGCTTAATCCCTCCCCACCATATTCATTAGTTTTGATAATAACGGATCAACTTTCTAGCACCTTCCATTATTGCTCTTCTCACACATTCCCTTCCCACCAGAACCTGTCCCTTTCACGTTGCCTTTCTTTGTTAGAGCCAAAGACCTTCACCGTGGAAGATGCTGTGGAGACCATTGGCTTTGGGCGTTTCCACATTGCACTCTTTCTCATCATGGGGAGCACTGGGGTGAGTGTCCTCAGTGATCACTTTATACCACAAAGCTAAGCTCACTGTCTGATGCAGTGTTTTATTCCTGACCTTGGGTCTTTCTGATCCATCCAGAGGGTGGAGGTGTATGCAAGGGAGGAGGAACACTGAGTAGATAACCCAACATTAATGTTTGTCTGCCTTTGGTAGGTGACCCATCACCAGCAGATGAATATCTATGTCTCTGTGTTCTGGGAATTCAATCCTCATTTAAAAAAAAATGATTTAAATCAAGGTATTGGGAAGAGAGGAGAAGACTATGGCATTGTTCCATGTATAATTCAACATAATGTACTTCAACGTACTGTGCATAAGAATTGCCAGGTCGTTTGTTGTGATTACAGACTTCCAGATCCTTTAAGAGACACTAATGGAAGTTTGTTACTTGCCATCTGCCCTGGTGGCACAGTGATTCAGCAGTTTGACCCACCAGACACCTGTGGGAGAAGATGTAGCAGTCTTCTTCTATAAGATGGTAGCCTAAGAAACTCTATGGGGCAGTTCTACTCTGTCACATGGGTTCACTATGGATTGGAATTGACTCAACAGCACCCAGCAACATGACAGTTTGTGCAAAGAAGAGGGACAGCTCAACCCCAGAGCTTTCCCCAGCCATGATGACTACAAGTGCAAAATCACTGCTACATCCTACTGAGATGCATAATGATAATGAGGTAGAACGGAACAGCTAGGACAAGTGGACTGATGATGGTCTGAGAGTAAGCATGCCTAAGAGGGAGACCAACGAGTAAATGCTGAGGAGCTCTGATCCCACTCTGAGCCAACCTGTGAATGTGAGCTGGAGGTAGCACCTAACAAGTTCTGACGCATCTCTCAGAAGCATTGCGCTCTGGGGAGGTAGTCTCATACAGAGAGAGAAAGGCAAGATTCGTACTAGCCCAACTTCCATAACCACCAGCAAGACAATGTTGACCATTCTTCATCTCTCTGCTAGACTCCAGAAATGTTAAAATTCTGGATTTCAAAAACAAGTAGGAGTGACTGGTTGGGGTTTTACTGCCTGCTGCCCTCTATCCTCAACCAATCATCTCCACTCACATTTTGCATGTTTGGTCTTCTAGTACAGTTTCTCTAGGAGAAACAGTCCTTCAGCTTAAAACAATTATAAATCCTCTGCTTTAGGGTGTCTCTCTTTCAAACAAGTGTGAGCTTTTTCTTTTTCCCATGACAATCCTCTAGGGAGTGGAAAGAAAATACAGAATTTTTTTTACCTTCCCAAATCAACCAAAGCACCTACACAACAGAAGGGCATGACTCTGAGATGAGGAAGAGATGCTCTTTCCAAAAGACAAGCATTAGGACTATATCTCCAGCGAGGTCATCCCCACGTGTCTATCTCCAGACCCACGTCCATGGAGGTTGTATGTCTACTGCACATTGGCAGTTAATGCTGTTTGCCAAATGGCTTTGGATTTGCTTCCAGCATCTTATAGGCTGTTTCGATTCTTCCCACCCCACTGCTAGGAAGGAGCCTCTACCACGCCTCCCCTCCTCACATTTCACACACACAAATCTCATCCCTGGTCTTAGGATCTTGTGGACCAGGATCTTCTCATCAGAGTAGATGTGTGGGCAGGGAGGGGCCATGGCAGGCTCCTGTTGGGCACTTGTGAAGAGGCAGTGGGGAAGAGTTAGATGAGGGATGGTGCCTGGCTACCACTGACCATTCTGATCAGGAACACAAAAGATGGTCCCACATAGAAAGGGAAAACGATACAGAACAGAACTCAAATTCTTAAAAAAGACCATGCAAACAGGATCAATGGAGACCAGAGGACTCCTGAGACTCTAGTCCTGAGATCCTCATTAAACCTTGAACCAAGACTATCCCCTGAGATCATTTAGTGAAATAGGAGAGTGGCTTGCAAAGGAAAAGATATTGCCTATAAGAATGGTGCTCTATTTCAAACCACCTGTGTGAGACTAAAGGCCAACAATTCCTCTAAAGCAAAGATGAGAAGATAAGGGGGCAGGGGGACTAGACCACTGGAGACAGAACAACCAGAATGCAGTTAAAGAGAATGGTGACCCCTTGGGAAGAGTGTAACTAATGTCACTAAACAGTTTGCATGGTAACTGTCCCATGGAAACCTAGCTTGCTGTGTAGACTTTAATAATAATAATAATAATAATAAAAACACGATAAAGTAGTATTTAAAGAAAAAGAGAGCGAGAGAGGTAATGGTGCAGTAGGTGGGTGTCAGGGCCTCACGTGATGTATGGAATGGCATTCCCCTCAGCCTAGTCTGTGACTAGGACTTCGAAGTCCTGATCTTCTGGAAGGTCTTCCAGATGGTCTTCTGGGACCTTCTTCTAGTGCTGTACTCTTTATGAAAGCAGATTTCCAGGCCTTTCTTCCATGTCTCTGCTAAGTGAGTTCGAACCACCAACCTTTAGGTTAGTAGTTGAGCCCTTAACCATTTGCACCACCTAGGGATGTGGGTACAGAACACAGGGTTTATAAATGAAGCCAGGGAGGGGGGACAGGGAGAACTGGGAGATGTGGTGGCAAAGTGGCCCTCAGACATGACATCCTTCCTTCTCTAAGGTGGCAGAGGCTATGGAGATCATGCTGATAGCGGTGGTGTCCCCAGTTATCCGCTGCGAATGGCAACTGGAGAACTGGCAGGTGGCATTGGTGACCACGGTGAGTGGCTGCCCCTATGCTGTAAGGGAGCCAGCTGAGGCCAGGGGGTGGTGTGGTGGGGGTATTGGGGGGGTGGGGCTTCTGTTCTCTTCCCCTATCTCAGGCAGAGAGCCCTGGATACCTCCTCAGCTGGTGGGCTAGCTTCCACTACTTATGGGATTGCAGGCTGAAACTAGCCTTCCAGGCCCTTACCCCTTCCCCTTCCCCTAGGTAAGGGGTAACCTGTACTCCTTACTGTCTAGCCCACAGTAAGAGCCCTGTGGAGAGAAATAAAACCCAGAACTGTGACCTCTAAGCCACAGGTTCTGGCTGCACTGGAGAAATAAAGCTTCTTGTGATGTTTGAATCAGAGACACGAGAGTCATTTTTATAGTAAAAATAAGTAGCTGCAAAGACAGCAGACCTGCGTGTGTGTGTGTGTGTGTGTGTGTGTGTGTGTGAGGGGGCAGAGGCTGTGGAATAATTTGTTGAAAGGAAAAAGAAAAAAGCAATTAAAAAGGTAATAAAAATATGGCTGATGCATTTGTAGTAGAAAGGAATAATACAGACTGATTCATGAACTAGCCCTATTTCACACACACATACACACACATACACACACAGGGGAAACACACATACACACATGGAGACACACAAACACACACACATACACACAATGCCAGAGGGGCAGGGTGAGGGGAGAGACAGCTTTATGACTATGCAATATCCCTCAAAAAAGGATTACAGCATTTACCAGCTTTTGGGGTTACATAAGCTTTGTGTAGGGCATCCCAAAATTCAAGGTGCTTGGCATAATTGAGAAGACTGACCCTAGTTCTTAGGAGGGCCTTGAATGAGGGCAGGGCGAGTCATCATCACAGCCAACGTAAAATAAACAAAACCACCTGAAGCTGCTGCCAATGAGTTGATTCCGACCCATGGTGCCCCCACGTGTTACAGAGTGGAACTGCTCCAAGGGGTTCCTTAGCCGTCATCTTTGACAGAAGCAGATTGCCAGGCCTTTCTTCTGCAGTGCTGCTGGCTGGTGCAAACCACCAACCTTTAGTCAGCAGTCAAGAGCAGACGGTTTGTGCCACCCAGGGACCAAGCGCTGAAGAGCAAAGATATCTCCTTGAACACTAGGATGCGCCTAACCTAAGCCATGGTATTTTCAATCGCCTCATATGCATGTGAGAGCTGGACAGTGAATAAGGAAGACAGAAGAAGAGTCGATGCTTTTGAGTTGTGGTGCTGGTGAAGAATGCTGAAAGTACTGTGGACTGCTAAAAGAACTAACAAATCTGTCCTGGAGGAAGTGCAGCCAGAATGCTCCTTGGAAGCAAGAATGGGCAGATTTTGTCTCACCTACTTTGGTCATGTTGTAAGACGGGACCGTTCTCTGGAGAAAGATGTCACACTTGGTAAAGTGGAGGGTCAAAGCAGGAGGAGAAGGCCCTCAACAAGATGGATTGGCATGATGGCTGCAGTGATGGGCTCAGGTATAGCAGTTATCGTGAGGCTGACACAGGCCTGGGCAGTATTTTGTTCTGTTGTACATAAGGTTGCTACGAGTCGGAGATGACTTGATGACACCTAGCAGCAACAGCAACAGGGACCTGGCATCCTAGCCAGCCCTTGAATTTTATCAGGGTAGAACCAGCTTTGTAAAAAAGAAAAGAAAAATAAGTGGGTTTATTGTGGGATTTATATTTGTTTTAGAGGATTGTTTTAATGGATGATTGGTTGGTGTTTAAAGTTTATGTTTACCTGTAATAGCACAAAGGAAGACAGCACCTAGTGGCCCTGACTCGTGTGGAGTAAGGGGTTGGTTTTTTTTTTTAATTAAAATGGAATCCCACAGGTGTTCATGTGAGTAGAGCGGGGCCCAGGAAAGCGGCTACCGGTTCTGGACACCTGCTTCCACCTGGTGGCGGTATCCCTGTCCAAGGTGTGGAATCAGCAGCCAGAACCTAGCGGTCAGCCTGAGCCCTGAGAACCAGCAGGGGGAGAGAGATTTATGACCCACCCCCCAGTCCTTAACTCCGGCGCTCAAACGTTTCCAATCCACCTTGGGGAAGGAGAGTGACCGCCCAGTGCAGTAAACTAACCAATCACAAACGCTTTGCTTGGAGAACCACGGTTTCCTCACACCCTCTCTTCCCCCAGATGGTGTTTTTCGGCTACATGGTGTTCAGCATCTTCTTCGGCCTCCTGGCTGACAGATACGGTCGTTGGAAGGTAGGCTGGGCCTTGGGTGATTTGGAATTTTCTTTTGTGGTAAAATCATTATTTCTCCTAAGGGGACATTTCCTACGGGGACTCAAGACAGAGTGTGGGGTGACTTCCTGACATTGGCTTACTGCATTCCAGCTTCGTCTTCTTGCTTTTCCACTTCTTTCTGAATTACCTGTGCCCACACCTGAGCCCCAGCAGTCTAGGTGTACAGTGGCTGGGGACACACAGGTAAAATATTAGACTATGGGAATTGGTTGTGGCACAGATCGTGAACTGCTTGAGGTGCTTGATTGTTAACCAGAAGGTTGGCGGTTCAAACCCACCCAGAGGTGCCTGGAAGACAAGCCTAGTGACCTGCTTCCGAAAGGTGACAGCCTTGAAAACCCTACGGGGCGGTTCCACTCTGCACACGTGGGGTCCCCACTGGTCGGAACTGACTCGACGGCAACTAGCAACGGCCACAACAAATGCCAGCAGGCTGTGTGCCAGTGAACTTTGTCATATTTTGAAACCATAAGCAACTTGCTGGAACTCACACACGCAGTCAAACTGACTACCAAGACATAAACCCACGGCTTCTGCTCACAAACCCACACCTCTTCCTGCCTGATTGCTGGAGGGTAAGGGCTGTCAAAGCATGAACACAGGGAGAAACCCACGGGAAAACATTAATAGCACAGGGTGTGTCTTGCAAAGTACATACAATAAATACCATAAACACAAAGACACATGAACTCAAATACAAGGATCTCAGAAAAACAAGTAAAAAGCAAGAACGGGAATTTATAAACAGGAAGAGTACGAACAGCTAAGGAAGCCTCAGAAAATGTTCAATTGCAGTAGTTCCCAGAAACCAAATGACACAGTGAGATAAAACTTTTCCTTATCAAATGCATTTCAAGTATCACATCCCTAAGGAATTTTCTTTTCCTTCAAGACTTCAAGACCCCTGCATGGCTGGAGAAGACGTTTTCTTGTGCCCTCAGATAGTTTTCTGATGATCAACTTGGCAGTTTGAATCAAAGCCCTGAAGCCCGTTGGCCCAGAGTTGGTTCCGACGTGTGGCGACCCCATGTGTGTCAAAGCAGAGCTACACTCCACAAGAGCTTCAAATGCTGACTTTCAGAAGTCTGGGTGGACTTGAACTTCCAACCTGTCGGCTAATAGCCAAGCACATCAACCATTTACACCACCCAGGACCTCCCTTCAGACGACAGAGTAGCCTGTGTTACACGCTGTGCTGATTCTGAGAGACTGGGGAGCTTGCCTCAGCCCCTCACAGAAGCGAGTTATCTGGTTAGAAGAGGAAACCTTCTGTTCTTCATCCAGGTTCTTATCAGCACGAAGCGATGGTTGGAAGACTATTTTACCTTAATTTTCCTGTCCCTGTGTAATTTTTCTGTCCCTGTGTAGATATGTGGTGCCACATAGACACCTTGGAAAGTTAGGGCCCACTCCGCTGAGACAGGTCCCATTCACGGGTCCTCTTTCCTTTCTTCAGATTCTGTTCATCTCGTTCCTGTGGGGCGCCTACTTCTCCTTGCTGACCTCTTTCTCCCCCTCGTACATCTGGTTTGTCTTCCTGCGGACGATGGTGGGCTGTGGCGTGTCCGGCCACTCACAAGGGTAAAGACATTCCCTTTCTTTCTTTTTTTTTAAATTTTTATTATGATTTGGGTGAAAGTTTACAGAGCAAATTCATTTTCCATACAGCGGTTCATACACTTTGTTTCATGATGTTGACTACAATTTCCCACAGTGTAACTGCTCCCCTCCCACTTCCTCCCCATAGTTCCCTCTTCCCTGTGTCCTTCCCTCCCATGCACTCCTGCTCCCTGAGCTGTCTCCCTGTGCAAACACTGCCCTTCTGTTCTCCCACGATTGACCACTCCAAGGAGTGTATCTACCTGAAGTAAACGTTCACCCCATACGTCTGTCTATTGTTTGGCTGGAAGCCACAGGAGTGAGTTCAATTCCAGACCTGAAGGGTAACTAGAGGAGTCTCTCCAGGCTCTATCAGACCAGCAAACCTGGTCTTTTTTTTATGATTTTGAGTTTTGTTCCACATCATTCTCCCACTGGATCCAGGGTCTCCTGCACCAATCCCCCTCTGCGTGGAAGACCTCCCCTTTCGACCCCGAGGGAGAAATGTCCACGCACCGAAGAGTTCCACACACACCCCTGTGCTGTGGTTCACGGACCAACACCATCAACAACGAGCCGGGGGTCTAAAGTGCTGGCTGCTTGGCTTGCTCAGAGCGATTTGCGCGACAAATGAGGCTCGAAGCTGACGCTGGCCAGTGCTGGACTGACACCTGTCCCCTTTCTTGTTCCTGAGCCTAAATCACTATCACTGTTTTTAAAAAATAGTATTTGATTGTGTTTTCACAAAATAATTTTGATTGTGTCTTCAGTGAAAGTTCACACAGCAAGCTGATTCCCATTTAACAGTTTCCACAGCACTTGTTCAGGGCCATTGGTTGCGTTTTTCAGGGTGTGTCAACACTCGCGTGACTTCCGTCCAGGTTGGTCCGCGTCCAGCACTCTGGTATCCCTGCTCCATCACTTTTCTATCTCTGCTTTACAGTAGTCGTTGGCCGTTCGGTCTCATGTGGCTGATTTTTTTTTTTTTTTTTTTTTTAAAGGAACACATGCTTGATATTCTTTATTTTATGAGCCAATCTGTTATTTAGCTAAAACTCATCATTTTTTTAGATGAATGACATTTTGCTGGACTAATCTAACCAACAGTACCATATTAAGGAGGCAATAAAAATGTCAACCCAAATACAAGCTGCTAATTTCTCGAGCATTTTTGCTGGAAGAGTCTGGCTTTGACCACAAGCACTTGTAACGTTTAGGAACAAGCGTTTTAAACGTCCTGTCCTGGCACTTAAGACTGTGCCAAAGTGACTTTGTGGAGCGGATGAGACTTCCTGAAATAGAGGTGAAGTTACTCCCCCTTCTGCCCTCCGAGGAGTGTTGTTTCACAAGTGTGGGCGGCAGGCGTCCTGCTAACTGTTCGGATCCCTGGGCACCTCTCTTAAATGGGTCCCTTTGGCCATTCTCCCTTGGCTGCCTTGGTGGAAGTTATCCTTACCGTACGTTAGGAGATGCCAAAGTGCGTCATTATTCCGTGAATGGGTGAGAGGGAGAATTGATCTTCCCTAAGGCATAAATTAAACAACTCTCAACTTGAGCCTTGGGGCCCTGGAGGAGCAGAAGTTCAGTAGAAATTCTAACTCCCTCAGGAAACAGCCCAGTGAGTGTGTTATAAATCCCAGACCCTGCAACAGAGAAGAGCAACCAGAAAAGCCGTGGAACCTGCTCCATTTACTCTTCTCTGCACGAAATGAGCGTGCGCTTGATCCGAAATCGGGGCCGGCCTCATCCTTACCCACAGCAGCTCTTTGCGCTCCCTGGAGTGTACGCTGACTTTCCCAGGGTGTTTTGGAAAAGGGAACCAGACTTGGAGGATGTTTTCGTGGGCTGATGTCACTTAACACGGTTGAAGGCGTAAGATAAATTTGGCAACGGAAGTGTAAACGGAGCGGTCCTTATGTTTACTTACTTTTGCTTGTGGCTATTAGCTGTAACAGGAGCTCTGGTAGCATAGTGCCTAAGGCACTTGATTGCTAACAAGAAGGCTGGCAGTTCTGCTAACCAGAAGCCTGGCGGTTCAAACCCACCAGCCACTCCTCGGAAGGAAGCTTGGGCAATCTACTTCCGTAGAGATACCGCCTCGGAAACCCAAGGAGGGGCCGTTCTGAGTCGGTCCGACTTGATGGCAAACAACATTAGCTGTAGCAATGACATTTTGATTTATTTTTGACTGTGGTGAAAACATGCTCACCCAAACGTTCACCAGCCCAACAACTTCCACATTGTCACCTCAGTGACACTGGTTGCCTTACTCCTAGCCGGCCCCCATTGGTGCTGTCCTTTTCCAAAACATTCCACCACCATTAACATAAACTCAGAAACCCACACCAAACTCACTACCTTGAGTCAGTTCCCACTCATAGCCACTACTCCTTGGCTTTCCAAGGAGGTATCACTACGGAAGTAGATTGCCAAGTCTTCCTTCTGAGGGGTGGCTGGTGGGTTTGAACTGCCAGCCTTCTGGTTAGCAGTCAAATGCCTTAGGTACTACACCATCAGAGCCCCTAAACCAAACCTCCAGCTTTCTCCCTTCCTCCCATCCCTGGTAACCATTAGTAATCTTTGGTTTCTATACATTTGCTTAGAACTGCTATGTTACTGAATTCTTTATCCCCGTGACAACAAAAATTATAATTGTTTAAAACAAACCATTCTTTGGTTTTATAAAAACAAAATTCTTGTGTTTTCCTCCCTTCTTGTTTAGGCTAATTATAAAGACTGAATTTTTGCCCACAAAATATCGAGGCTATATGCTGCCCTTGTCTCAGGTAAGGTACAACGCCCTGCGGTGTCTTCTGCGTCCCATGGGGTGAGCCGGGCATGGTTGTTCTGCTACCAGGTGGTTGTTGAGTTGCTGCTCATTCCCTGGTAACACGCTGCCTAGTACTTGACTCCACCCAATAGGAACTGGGAACACTTGAAGGCAGAGGTCCAAATGCTCAGTTTGCAAGCGTAGGAATAGTATCACCCAACAGTACACCCATGTTTCCACATGCCCTTGGCTGGCTTCACTGGAGCCCAGGAATGCTGGGTCTCCATGGTGTTGACCTGATAATACTTGGCCCAAGATGGAGCCAGTTATGCTAAATCCTGCATCAGGAAACCAAACCCTAACCAAGTTTCTATTTCTTGTACATGCCTGACCTTTCCAGACGTCGAAATCTAAGTCATCCAATGCTCGCTTGCTGCCTCACCTATGGTCTTTGACCGGCTACAGAAAGTCCCAGTGTGCCCTGTAAGGAAAGCACCTCAGAAGTGACCAATCACTGTTCACCCAGTGCTGCTTCCTTGTCCAGGACTTGCCTCACCACTTTGCCTATATAACTTTGGTCTCTTGCTCATGTCTTTTGGAGCTCTTGTCTGACTTCCAGACCAGAAGCTTCCCAGTTCATGAATTGCAAATAAAGCGGATGGGTCTGCATGCGAGTTGAATCCTGTGGAAATCTCACGTCCCACTGTGAGTTCTCCTTCTCCCTCCTCTTCAAAACAAGCTCATTGACTTGTGATGAAGAGGGAAGAAGGGTGAAGCTACTGTCCCTTCCGGGATCCTGACCCTTCCAGGAGGCCCTGGGCGGGGTAAATGGCTGATGCATGGCTGCATCCTAAAGGTTGGACCTTGAATCCACTCAGAGGTACCTTCAAAGAAAGCCCTGGTGACCTGCTTTAAAAAAAAACAAACCAGCCACCGAGAGCCCTGTGGAGCCTAGTTCTACTCTGACACTCTTGGGGTTGCCATGAGTTGGATTGACTCAATGGTACTGGTGGCCTCCCTTTCAGGGATACTATGTCTTTCCATTTTTCTCTAACCCTCTACTTTACCAGGCATGATATCCTTCCACAGGGAGGGACTGGTCCCTTCTGACAACATGACCAAAATATGTGAGATGAAGTCTGGCCATTCTTGCTTCTAAGGAGCATTCCAGCTGTACTTTCGAGACAGATTTGTTCATTCTTCGGGCAGTCCATGGTATTTTCAGTATTCTTTGCCAACACCACAATTCAAATGCATCAGTTCTTCTTTGGTTCCTTATTCATTGTCCAGTCCATATGCATATGGGACATTTGAAAAGACCCATGGTTTGGGTCATACACACCTTAGTCTTTAAAGTGACATCTTTGCTTTTTAACACTTTAGAGGTCTTTTGCAGCAGATTTGCCCAGTGCAATACGTCATCTGATTTCTTGACTGCTGCTTCCATGGGTGTTGATTGTGGATCCAACTAAAATGAAGTCCCTGACAACCTCAGTCTTTTCTCCAATATCATGATGTTGCTTATTGGTCCAGTTATGAGGATTTTTGTTTTCTTTATGTTGAGGTGCAATCCATACTGAAGACTGTAGTCTTTAATTTTCATCAGTAAGTGCTTCAAGTCATCTTCACTTTCAGCAGCAAGTTTGTGTCATCTGCATATTGCAAGTTGTTAATGAGTTTTTCTCCAATCCTGATGACTCATTCTTCTTCATATAGTCCAGCTTCTTGGATTATTTGCTCAGCATACAGATTGAATAAATATGGTGGAAGGATACAACCCTGACACACACCTTTCCTGATTTAAAACCACACAGTATCCCCTTGTTCTGTTTGAATGACTGCCTCTTGGTCTACGTACAGGTTCCTCATGAGCACAGTTAAGTGTTCAGGCATTTCCATTCTTCTCAATGTTATCCATAATTTGTTATGATCTGCACAGTCAAATAATTTTGCATAGTCAATAAACATCTTTCTGATATTCTTCACTTTTAGCCAAGAGCCATCTGACATCAATGATGATATCCCTTTTTCCATGCTCTCTTCTGAATCCACCTTGAATTTCTAGCAGTTCCCTGTCAATATACTGCTGCAACCATTTTTCAATTATCTTCAACACAATTGTACTTGCATGTGATATTAATGATATTGTCCAATCATTTCCACGTTCTGTGGATCACCTTTCTTTGGAATGGGCACAAATACAGACCTTTTCCAGTCAGTTGGCCAGGTAGTTGTCTTCCAAATTTCTTGGCATAAATGAGTAAGTACCTCCAGCACTGCGTCCATTTGTTGAAATGTCTCAATGGGTATTCTGTCAATTCCTGGAGCCTTGTTTTTTTACCAGTGAGCTCTGGTGGGGTAATGGTTTAGACATTTGGCTGTTAATGAGTCTTCCTCCAATCCTGATGTCGCTTTCTTCTTCGTATAGTCCAGATTCTTGGATTATTTGCTCATTTTACAGATTGAATAAGTATGGTGAAAGAATACAACCCTAACACACTCTCTTCCTAATTTTAAACCATGCAGGGTCCCCTTGTTCTGTTTGAACGACAGCCTCCTTGTCTATGTGTAGGATCCTCATGAGTACAATTAAGTGTTCTGGAATTCCCATTCTTCTCAATCTTACCCATAATTTGTTATGATCTACACAATTGAATGCTTTTGCACAGTCAATAAAACACAAGTAAACATCTTTCTGGCGTTCTTTGCTTTGAGCCAAGATCCATCTGTCATCAGCTGTTATATCCCTCATTCCACATCCTCTTCTGAATCCAGCTTCCATTTCTGGAAGTTCTCTGTCAATATACTGCTGCAACCATTTTTGAATTATCTTCAGTAAGATTTTACTTGAGTGTGATATTAATGATATTGGTTGATAATTTCCACACTGTGTGGGATCACCTTTCTTTGGAATGAGTACAAATATAGATCTCTTCCAGTCAGTTGGCCAGGGAGCTGTCTTCCAAATCTCTCCTCCAGCACAACATCCATTTGTTGAAACATCTCGATAGGTATTCTGTCAATTCCTGGACTGTGTTTTCCACCAGTTCCTTCAGTGCAGCTTTGACTTCTTTCTTCAGTACCATTGGTTCTTGATCATATGCCACCTCCTGAAATGGATGAACATCAACCAATTCTTTTTGGTATAGTGACTCTGTGTATTACTTCCATCTTCTTTTAATGTTTCCTGCATCATTCAATATTTTGCCCATAGAATCTTTCAGTATTGCAACTCAAGGCTTGAATTTTTTCTTCAGTTCTTTCAGTTTGAGAAATACTGAGCATGTTCTTCCCTTTTGGTATCCTAACTCCAGGTCTTTGTACATTTCATTATAATAATTGACTTTGTCTTCTCGAGCTGCTCTTCGAAATCTTCTGTTCAGCTCTTTTATCTTATCACTCCTTCCATTTGCTTTAGCTCCTCTCCCTTCAAGGGCAAGTTTCAGAGTCTCTTCTGACATCCATTTTGGTCTTTTCTTCCTTTCCTGTCTTTTATTATTATTATTATTTATTGTCATTTGGGTGAAGATTTACAGAGCAAATTCACTTTTCATACAGCAGTTTACATGTACTTTGTCTCATGACATTAACCACAGGTTACTACAATGCAACAGCTCCCCTCCCACTTCCTTCCCATAGTTACCTCTTCCCTGTGTCCATCACTCCATGCACTCCTACCCCCTGAGCTCTCTCCCTGTGCATAAGCACCCCTTCTTTCTCCGATGCTTGTTCTTTCCAAGGAGTGTATCTACCTCAGGTGAATGTTCAACTCATATGCCTGTCTTCTGTTTGGCTGGAAACCGCAGGTGGGGGTTCAATTCCAGACCTGAAGAGCAGTTAGGGGCCATAGTCTCAGTGGTTCCACCAGGCTCTATTGGACCA